AGACTTCCTGTATTTGACAAGTTGGGCTTGAATCCTCAAAAGCTTATACCATAATAAATGTGTTAGCCTTTAAGGTACTTCAGTATTTGGTTAATTTTAGCTAGCTGATGGATGAGATATTCTCTTGTACGTCTTGCATTTGAGACCTTGACTATTGTTATTCTTGCCCAAACAGACCAGGTTGTAAAACAGATGGGAGCCTGAAAAGAGCCATGAGTAGGAAACATGAAACTGGCATTGAGTGAGTAAAATACTTCTTCTTATTGCCATCATTAGATGCTCCTGCAGGAGATAAAAGGATGCAACATTCATTGTCTGAAGAGGAACTTCTGCAGGCTGAACCAGATAAGAGCAAACATGCCACATTGTTTCCTGGATTGAGCAACCGCTGACAAGGAACTCGGGTCATGCTTGCTGAAAGCCTAGGAGGAGGATTCTTATTAACAGACACAGCAGCTGTTTCCTCTAGTGAGCTTATAAAAATATATTTACAACCCAAGGGAAAGCATTTTTAAAAGTATACAGAACACATGGTGCTTGAGCTCACAGCTGCCTTGGATTCTTGGATTCCAGTAATGGCTTTTGAAAGCAGAACAGAGATATTTGGGTGGTGTTGTGGAGAAGCTGATGATGAGTCGTCTCACAAGAGATGTTTGTTCATCGTCTGGGACTTGAAGTGGGTTGCTCACAAGGTCATTTAATATGGTTACAGCAGAATTGTAGAGTTGGAAGGTATCCTTGGGGTCATCTTGTCCAATCTCCTGCCATGCAGGAACCTCAACTACTTTATCTCCATTTTGTCCAGGTTGCAGGATGTGAGTCCTCTTGCCCCAGAAAAGGTTTCTGATCACATAAAGGTTCTAATTCACAGATCTACCATGTAGTGGTATTATTGCAAACCATCTCCTCACATGCAAATTCTGTGAGCATAAATCACAGGTTCTGCAATTACAATAAATTATGCAAACAGGGGAAGTATACAGACATTTGCATCTTTTGCCTGTTTCATATTATTTGCAGAATTGTCACATTTCATTGAAGAATCTTTGTTTGTAGAATTTGTGTGCCCTTCCCCCCCTTTTTTTTAAGTGACTCCAAAGTAAAGACCTAGTATTCATGGGGGAAAACCAGAAGTAGAGAAGACCTGTATGGTCCAGTGACATGGTGAAAAGGTCATAGGAAATTAGTGGTGAAAAATCCTGTCTTCTGACTATTGTCCCCTTTATTTTAAGACTGTTTTAGCCACATGGATATTATTATTCATGAGAACTGAAGAGGTTTTTTAAAAAACAGGTGGTTAAAATTTCAGAGTTCTTTGGCTTTGACAAGGGGGAGCAATGCAGAATGGGGGGAAATGGCATGGAAGGAAACCCTTAAGCACCCTCTGCCAGAGTATTTCTTCTGCAGCCTTCAAAGCAGCCCCATAATAAGACTGCTTGTCTGTACAAGAAAAAGCACCAGGAGAGTCTAATCACAGATCTTGTACATCATGTCCCGTTTGGCCTTAACTGAACATGCAGCAATTGTAGATGACAAACAATGCTTACAGCTCAGACAGCGCAAGTGACAGATTATGAGGAAATGATTCTGCTTTACCTCATTTGTCCCCATTTTATTTTATTTGCAGAATTTGGCTGCAACCATTGTCCCCACCCCATCCCAAATCCTGTCTCCATAATTGTTATATTTAATTATGCTGTGCCTTTATCTCTCACCAGATGGCTGGAGTCTCAACAGACCACCTGGTTATAAGCTTTTATAACTGTTCGTAAGTTCCACAGGCTTCTGTTCTCACTGAACTGCTGTGCAGTCCTGGAAACAAACATACAAAAATTTAAAACAGAACTGTTTGGGGACTTTTATTAATATATATAAAAAACAAAATTTATTTACTCTTCGTTGTCACAAAGGGGAAAATTTGAAGCTGTATGTACAAATTTAGTTAAAATGTTTAATCTCAAAAGTTATACCCTGCCCATAGAGTTTTATATGCTGATTTTCCCCCAGGGAACTAAGAGCTTCAATGATATTGTCCTCTATTTAAAGCTTACAGGCTTTAAGAATAAGATGAATAGAATATTATCATTGCTTTAATCCCTGTTCAATTTTCTATGACTACCCTACGAGACAGCATGAAGAACAATAGGATGGGATATGGCATAATCACCTACAGAAAATTCTATAAAGGAGAATTTAAATGAAATAATTCTGGGCTGTGTATAATGACACTGGGGAAATCAAGGTTTTAGATTAAAGAAAAGAATAATAAAGTTAAGAGGGCAGCCTTTGTTCTGCTAAAATCTTCTTTCAATAGAAATGTCTTTTTAAGCAGGCTTTAGGACAATGGATCATTATATATCTAGATAAAAAAATTGTATACAGTCATGTGACAAAAGCTTTCCAGGAGGACATAAACAGTACCTGCTTTGCTAATGTCTCTATTTATCTAGAAATAAATCTGAGCTTCTTTTCATGAAAATACAAGAAACTTTGACATTAGAGCCACCAACTGCTCAGCAGGTGTCCTCATTCAGTATTTCGAACAATTTCCCTAAAATCTGACATTAGCTCAGATGGGGACACACCTTTGCCAGCAATAAGATTAGTTAGAGCAGGAGTGGCAAAAGTTCACTCTCATGGACCACATTCCCTCAGGCCACTGATGGACAGGGCTAGTACAAAAAGTGGAGAAGACCACCCTCTCTCTTACACACATTCGTATCATCTACACACATCCATTCATGCATTAGTTCATGTACATTCCCACACACATTCCCAATCATACCCAACCAACACATAAAACCCACATGTATCCCCACTTAAAACTCACACACTTAGGCTTGACAAAAGAATTTGAGCTCCGTATCCCTCACTTAATTGCTGCATTGGGAGTGCTCCTCATGGAGATTGCGGTGGAATCTAGACACATATAAAAACCGTTCTGAAAATGCTTTTTTACAAAAATACATTGAATTTTCCATAAGGCTCACCATCACCATCTTGTGTCACATTGTATATTGCACTTAAAACACACTTAAAACGTTTCATTTGCATTGTACAGCTGAGTCCTGCCTCTCCCATGCAGTTATTAGGCTTGAAATCAGCTGCCTCAATAATAATAATAATAATAATAATAATAATAAATGGAGCACTGAAGAGTTAACATTTTCCTGCCTTATAAAATAGGTCTCCTGTATAGCTGTTAGGTTTGAGAGCAGGCTTTCATTTGTTCCAATTGGAGCATATTCTGTGCAGGAGGAGGAGACAAGGAACAAATGTTGTGTTCCAGATGGTGATGAGTTGAATCATGCCTGTGGAGTGGTGGCTCCTCACTCCTGCTTTAATCTAGACCAGGTTAAAGACTTAGTCCAATTGATTGCTGTGGCTTTAAGCATATTAACTGTCCTTAGAAATCAATGTGACTTTAAAAGCTTAATGTTGACTGAAGGGTGCCTTAAAAAGCTTGTCTCAAGCAGAGCAATTCCAGAGTCAATTTCAATTTGAATCACTTTAGACGTGGGGATCATCCATACTGTTGTTCAGTGTAGACAGTAAGCTTCATGTACTTCCGTCCATTCTCCCTTGTCCATATGACATTCTCTCCTAAATCACAGCCATCCCACACTCCTCCTCCCCCAATCTGAATTATCTCATGCCCTCTCCTTTTCAGAGTATCTCTGGTATGAGAAAACATCACACATTTGGAGGAGAACATCACATGGACAACATAATAGAAACCTGTCATTTTACTGAGATTCATCAGTAGTCCTGTACTTTCACATAATCTGCCGTGTCTCTTAGGAATACCTTTCCAAATGAGGAGTTGCATTGGCAAACCTCAGAAGTATCTTACTGTGTGCAAGACCATGATAATGAGGAATGAAAGAAGCAAAATCTAAGGTTATCTACAGTGTAATGATAGATCACTGGAATCTGATCATACCAGATTGCTAATTTACATTACAGAATAAGCTTTCAGTATCATTAAAAGCAATAAAATGTCCTTTGTGTGTCTTTAACCATCATTTTTGCTGAGGGATTTAGACCACAATCTGAGACAGCTCTTTTATATTCCTGCGGCATCCCCAAAGGCATAAAGGTTTCAGCAAATCTAGAAGAATCTGTGAGATTGCCTCGCAGGTATTTCCATTCTTGTATGTTATCTTACACAACCAGAGGAGATACTTTCCTGAATAATTTGTGTGTGGAGGCAATTACAGTGTCAGCCTGCGTACTTACCATACATTTAAACCACATTACCAAAGAATCCGGGGAACTGTTGTTTGTTAAGGGTGCTGACAGAGCCACAATTCCCAGCACGCTTAACAAACTACAGTTCCCAGTATTCTCCATTACTATTAAAGTGATATAAGAGTGCTTTGAATGTATGGTGTGGATCCACCCTCAAGGCCAAAGACTTGTTGCTTCCAAATTCAGGTCTAGTATTTGTTCCATAATATTTTGGCTGTGAGTCCTGGAAGGCCTTTTCCCACCGGCCTGGGAGGATGGGGCCCTGACTAGCTCCAGCTACAAAAGCCGAGGCTGCCGAAGAGCCCAGAGACCATCTTGGCTGTCTCTTAGTACAGACTCGGGTCATCAAGCCTGAACTCTGACAGCTGTATTTTTGCTGGCTTTTATATGTTTTCTCTTCTGCTGTTTTGTACTGCTTATAATTAGGTTTATTGTTTACACATTTTACTGCATCTCCACTGCACTGCAAATGGCCCTGAAGACTTTGTTATATGGATAGTATATAAATGTAATGAATAAATAAATAAATAAATGCAATAAATAAAAATGAAGGAATGGTTTGGGGCTGGGTCTTCTCCCCATTGTGATGACACCCAGTCAATCCAAGAAGTTAGGAACTGGTAAACTGGTTCTATAGCTAGGAGAGGATGAGCATTATTATCTCTGGACTGCCAGGGTGAGATGGGAGACCACAACAAAAGTATAGAACCAGAAAAGGGAAGGTGGAAAAATGTAATTTCCAAAGTAAGTGGGGTTGTAGCCTGGCCCATGGTTCACCTTTATTAAATATATTTACATTCATAATACAAAGGATATTTTTCTTATTAATTGGAAAGATGAAAAAGTCTGGGCAAACTACGAATATTTGCAATAGCACCATCAGCAATCTCAAAGGCTGGAAGAAATGTGACTTCTAGTTAATTGTAAGGTTGATGTATGTTCTGCTATGCAGCAAATATGGTACTCAAGGACACTCATAAGGGCTAAATATAGGAGAAAGAAGATTGAATAACCATCGTCTCTTTAGAAAATTTGCCAAGTCTGCAAGCTGATTATGTTATCAAAAATGAAAAATTGATTGTTAGGTGGCTAACATCTAATAATTTGGCCTCAGGCAGATCTTTGAGGAGCTAAGGTTGTTAAGAGTTCATTTTTGCCCTTCATTCCTACTTCTGAATAACTGGGCTTCTTGTTTAATGGGCAAACAACCACTCTTTCCACAGTGGCTAAGTTTGCTTAATTGACCATGTTGATAGCTAAGTGCCAATGAGAGACCATTCACAGCTCAACAAGGCTTGTTCCTGCATTTGAGGAGAATATAATGTGACTGGAATCTCTCACTCATCTCCCCATTTACAAGGATATCATATTTTCTCAAACTATTAATCCGAGTGTGACCATAAAAATGTGAAACTCAGATATTATTAACTATCAAACAGATGTCCCAGTTGTTTAAAATGCAGGAGAGGCTCTTTATGAAGTCATTTGGTTCCTTTAAAGTTATTCCTTCTACTTGATAACCCTCACCCTTGATAAGAGTGTCCACCTCAAGAGCAATCACCTTCACATAAAGTTGATACGAAACAGCACAAAATAAATTTAAAAATCCACAGAACTAATGAGACAGGGGGCCACAGAAAACATATGATGGGAGGTATTAAGTACTCAGCCCCCCCTTACACACGGCTACTTTTCTGCTCTGTAACGTGTATCCATCTAACACCATCTACCCCAGAATGGGGGAACCTTTGGCCCTCCAGATGTTTCTGCACTGCAGTGCCTGTCAGCCCCAGCAAGCATGGCCAATCACAAAGTATGATGGGAGTTGTAGTTCAACATCATCTGGAGGGCCAAGGTTCCCTACACATAGGCTAACAATGCATCACAGGCTGTTTCGTGTGGTTCACACTCTCTTCTCCTTCTGCACCATATGGTCCTTTCAAGCTTCCTAGGAATTTTAAGTTACAATGGCTTGTTAAGGACTCCAGAATCCACATTGTAGAAGCCAAATATAAAGAGGCTCAATGTTAGCCCTATTTTGTAAATGGGTAATCTTTTTTTAAGGTATACTGCAGGATTCAATTGCAGGATTCTTGCCAAGTTTGTAATGGTGTTAACTTACCACCACCTGTTCTACGTTGACCCTGTTCTATTTTCCTAGTTCTTCAATTCTAGGAGGCAATAAGTTATTCCTTCCTGCTACAGTGAAATCTCATTTGGCTTTTAACTCTGTGTAGCACATTTGTGCAAAAGTTTTGAAGTTCTTTAAAAAATCTGTGCAGTTTTTTTCTGCAAATGTTTCACACTGCTGCCACTTGGATGTTTTTGTTTCCTGTAAAAATGAAAGGTTAAAAAAAGTTAGCATTGTTAAAGCAATTCGTTATAAAAAAAAAATTGAGAGGAAAGTAAGACACAAGAGAGACATGACAGACAATTTTCTTCCTTATGGCAGGTCCTTGGTTTGGGATTTCTAGTCAGCCACTAACATCCTTGTGACCACATTTTCAGCATACTAGGCCTCCCGCTCTCTAGAATGTCTGCAATTTCTGTTAGCAGGGCTTTGCACATAAACCAGTAGCATGTGCATGTAGCCTTAAGAGATTTCTGCAGATCTGAAGTGAATGCATGCAAATCCCCGCCCCCGGAAGTGCTTGAGCAGGGTCTCCCCTTCCCAGGCCACCCCACTTCCCTGGGCAGAAGGGATCTCCTGGAGGATTGTGGAGTGCCATTCACACCAATGGAAAAGTCTGCCCTAGCGGGGACTTCTTTCTCTATGGAAGCAGTGCCTTTTTCCTGCTTGAGATGTTGAGACAGCAGCAGCAGGTCTGCCATGGACAACTGAAGGAGAATGTTCCCTGCTCAGCAGGAATTGTACTTTCCATCCAAGGTGGGATGCAGGAGGGCATGGGCACTGAGAGTGGTGCTGGGAGTACTCCCAACTGCAACCACCCTCTTTTCCTTCCTTCTCATTTGATGGGGAAGGGTGAAATGGAGGCAGAAGCTGACTGAGCTCTGATCCTCAACTGCTATAAATAGGCTAAAAGCCAGGCCCTATTCAACTTGCATCTCCACACACAGAACAGAACTAGGGATTTCACTTTCACAAGCTCCCCTTTTCAATTCCTTGTAACATTTCTGCAAAGGGTACATTTCTGCTACATATCTTGAATTCAACTATTCTACAAAGCGTGTTCTCCTTCATGGAGAGCACGTGTTGCGGTGGGGTCTGCTGAGCCACCCCTCTGTTAACAGGCAGGGTCTCTAAAGATGGCCTGGGGCAGTGATTGTTTCACTGGGTTGCTGGGGTAAAAGTTATGTTGCAATTTTGGTGGGAGGGGTAAAATGTTTAAATACTCTGCACACAGCCTGGAGCTTTCTCTTTGCTGTGTGCAACGGATCACCCGCCCACCTGCCCTTGAGTAAGGGGTTGTTGCATTGACCTTGCTATGCCTGTCATGGGGTCATCTGCCGTTGGGGCAGGGGCCTGGTAGGAATTTTGTCCATCTGGCAGATTGGCTGGGCCATTTGGTTTTTGCCTACTGCGTAGCAAATCGTCACAACTTGTAAGGTTGCGGTTAGGCATTGGTTATAAATTGGTGGAGGAGGGGTTAGGATAGGCTGGGCCTGCCCCTCCATGGTTGCTGCGGAAAGGGAATTCCGTTAAAGGAATCCTGGGGCTTGCCAATTTTTCGTCCAATCCCTGGAATGGGACTAGGGCCGGCAAGCCTTCGGGGAGCAGGCGGGTGAGAGGTGAGGGTCTGTGACTCAGCTCCATTTCTCCCCGACTTGCTTTCCCCCACACTGTCTTTCGGTGGTGCCCGGAAGTCAGTTCTGTCCCCAGGCGGGGGGACAGATAGTCTTAACCAATGCCTAAACAACCACTCACGGTTTTGTATTTAAATAAAGTTGTGGCCAAAATTATGCCAAAAACCTTAAACAAAAATTAAGTGTGCGTTGTGAGTTATTTGGGGGGTGGCTTGGGGACCTCGACACGCAAGAAAGGTTTCTAGCGAATTCTCATCCACAGGAACATTCTAGACTGGGATCCTTGGGCTGGTATGAACGTAGAAATGGCAAAATATTATCAGGATAACTTACAATAGATTTGAGAGGATCTGGATGGAATAATGGATTTCTATCCCAAAGCCACATCCTTGTAAACATAGTCTTGGAAGTAGGGGTTGGGGGGAATTCAATTTAGTTTGCATTGAAAAAGAAACACACCTGATTTTAGCTTTTGGAAGCCAAACACAAACCAAAATACAGCCATCCTTTGAATTTTTGCAATGTGGTTCTCCAGCCAAGTTATGCATACAAAATGCCTTTATTCATGTAAAGTGTGTACAAAAATGTGCAGATTAGGAGAAAATTGCTCTGTTTTTAAATGCAAATTGATGAGGAAATGTGGAGAAATGAACTTATGCCTGGAAAAGTGAGAAACTGCGAGAAACCCAAAATTGTCAAATTTGCCTGTCCCTACTTGGAAGCCTAAAGGAATAAATTGGGGGGAAACTACAGGGCAAGGATTCAACAGTTCATTCCTTTCTCTCCATTTTCTGATCTAAATCTTGAGTTGCTTTGCAAGGGAGAAAAGTCTGTTAGGAATTCCTTTAATGTGGCTACAGTGCAACAGACATGCAATTTTGCCCATAGGCTAAACTCACCTGTTTGTCATTTTCCAAAAGGTATTTAACATTATCGATTATGTTATCTACTTTGTTCTGTAACTTTGTATCATTTTCAAATTTATATTCATACGAAATTACTTGCATCTCAAGCTGAAAGCATTTCACCACCGATAAATTACAGCCACTCTGGAAAGAAGGAAAAATCATTGGGTTTATAATATGAAACTTCTCAAGTCTCATTCAGACACGGCCTTTCCCTTGAATTCAGGCCATCCTGCCTGATTCAGAGTATGATCATGGGGGGAGGGGGAGAAATGACCCTCTCACCCCTCAATAACTATTATTGCACAAGTTCCTGCCACACAAATAATTATAATTGCCTCACACATTACATCTGTAAGCACATGCAGAAGAGTCATTTGTAAAATATATTTGCCATTTTATTGCTTGTATCCTTGATTTGGGAGCTGCTTTGAGAGCCTTTTTTTGTTGAAGAGTGGGGTAAAAATGATTTAAGGAATAAAGCTTGACTATAGACTTGTATGGTTTTACTGCTTCAAAAGCCCACCGTGAAAGAAAGCTACACTTACAGTAAAACAATAGACATATATTTTGTGTGACTAGTGTTGAGAGGGCCAAACTAAGACCAGGGAGATTCAGGTGCAAAACTCTGCTCCTGAAACACATCTAGGCAACTTTGGCCCAGTCTCTCTCAGCCTACTTCACAGAGTGGTATTCAACAAAGTTTTGCTCAGACTAGGCTAATTGAAATGAACGAACATGAACGAACATGCCACCCACAGTGTTTTTCCTTCAGATATAATGGGGAAGGTGGGGAAATAGAGAGAAGCTTGTGGACCCCTCTGAACTTTGGGGGGAAAGGATGGGATAAAAATATAAATAACATTAAGAAAATATAATTTTGAGGTGGGGAATATTATAGTGAAAAATAAATCCTCAAACCATTAGGATTGCTAAATCTGAATCAGAACTAAACTAAGATAATTTCAGGGTAGTTCTTCCGTTGCCAGTCATTTTCAGTAAGTATCAGAAATAATGGTTTCATGTGAAATTGTCCATTGATAATTGATGTTGGCCAGTAAGTTGCCTCATAAGCAGTGGCGGAGGAAGGGGGCAGGGGTGCCACTCTGAAGGGGATGACAAGAAGGCACCCCAAGGGAGGCTCGCCCTGCCGCCCTGGGGCACAGCGCCATGAGCCGCCGCCATGAGCGGAGGATCCCACCGCTGTCCGTATGGCGTTTGAGTGGAGCCGTCGGCGAAATACCCGGTGGCGCGTGCGCAACGCCACTACATATGGCGCATGTGTGTGCGCCATACGTAATGGCATTGCGCATGCGCCATACGTAGTGGCACCACGCATGTGCTGCCAGGTGGTTTGCCCCACCCCCCAGGTGCTGGTTAGCCTTCCTTCGCCCCTGTTCATAAGAACATAAAGAAAAGCCATACTGTATCAAGATATTATGGGCATTTTGAATCCCAATTCTATCTTTGGTTGCATTGGCTACTCCTCCTTGTCTGGTGTCATCTGCAAATTTGATGAGAATCCCCTCAATTCCTTCATCCTAGTCATCAATAAATATGTTGAACAACAATGGGCCCAAGACAGATCCCTGCAGCACCCCACACGCTGCCTTTCCCCCCAAGATGGCAAGGAACTTGTCTTTTGCAGGTGGTATACAACATATTAATATGAAATAAATTTGAATTACAAAATGGACTCACAAAATCTTTTAAGTCTGCAGTATATAAAGTAGCATCAATCTGAAAAACAAAAGTAATAGCTTTGTAAGCAACAGTTTCAGAATTGAGTGATGATAAACTGTTAAGATTTCTTCCCATCTAAGTCATTGCTCAAAAGGTGAAATTTGAAATCACTGGAAACCTAAATGCTGAGCTTTTTGGGAAGGTCTTAACATCCGATGGGTACAATTTGGCAGCCACTAAAATTAACCGTAAATCTGCAATTTCTCAAACGGGTGTTGAAGAAAGCTGAAAGTGGGCAGCCTTTTAGCATATCTGCCCTGCTATGCTAACTGAATCATATCTGAATCATGCTTTTAGGAAAAGAGTTATTTTGTGCTTTATTTCAAATGGTAGACATTAAAAAAATTAAAATAGCTTTAAAGATTCTAATGTCTTCAGAGAAAGGACAATTGAAGAAGACAAAGGGGAAATGTTGGAATCAATCATGCAGAAGTGGATTGTCTGAGAAATGTGTTACTGGAAAATTTGCCAAGAATCTTTTTCTGATAACCAAACACTTGCGGTTAAGAGAGGAAGGAAATAACAAATTGCAATTAAGTTTTACAGTCCTTTAATTATCAAAGTGTTTGACATGACCCCATAGCATTAACAATGAATGCAATCCTATGCTTTTTTTTCCAGAAATATATTTCACTTTGTTAGTGGAGCTTACCCTTAGGTAAGTGTCCATAGGATTGCAGCCTTATATGCTTATGCAATTATTTTGGAAAGTATTATACACAGTGCAATAGTATGTAGATTACATTTCTTTGATTTAGAGTGAGGGAGGAATCTAAACTGCAAGATCTGACTTAATGACTGTGTCAGAAGTAGAAACATTTAAAATACTGAGTTTAGCCATTTGTGCACTGTTCACTATGGACATTTTGTAAAATGCGTTGTGGCCTTGTTTGCATACATTTTACTACAATATTTGTGTTTCCTAATGATTTATTGTCTTTTTTTATTCAACTTAATATCTAATCCACACCCTTGTTTTCATAGAATTATTCATATCCTTCAAAACAGTGTTTTGAATTTTGCGTTTTGGAAGAAATTTAAATAGGGTTTAAAAGTAAGAGTGGTGTCTTGCTCTCTTATGGCCTTTATATGCATGTGTTTAAAAATCATGTTGAAAAGAAACAAAATGAAATGTCCTCAGGTCTTTTTCCTACTGGCAAATATTTTTTATTCCCTTCTGTTCATGACCATGGCTTTGATTTCATTAACCTTCACAGGAGAGGGTGTTAGCATCCACAAATAAACATTTGTCACACAAACAGCGCACACTTATTTAAATCACCTCTTTCTCAGCCCAGCATGGCAATGGGGTGATTTTTCAATTGCAGCACTGGGCTGTGTCATCAGCTCAGCATTGTGATGGAGTGTGTGATTTTTGCCAGGGGCTGGTGGGCTAACATGCAGTGGCTTAGTGGGCCAGTTCAGGCCTGCAGGTTCACCACTCCCAATTTATATTTCTGTTTTGAATACTGTTACTTTACATCTATTTTGTGAGCTTACCTTAGTAGGGAGTGCTTCAATGGTGAGGTTCAAATCGTCCATCACTGCTTTCCATATGTCATATTTAATCTCATTTTGTAGTACACATGAACTTGGTTGAAAGAAAGCAAGGGTGCTGTCATAACAATAAATGCTGAAGTCAATTATCTGATAAATAGGCATATACTATGCACACCATTAGCCCTCCTAAAGTGTTAATCCTTTACTGTTATTGAACACAGGAGCAGAAACACACTAAGTAACCCAGACCCAACCCTCTGAAGAAATAGTGCAACCATCTTTAGTGAGGGAGTCTTCACATGCACAGCAATACACACAAAGACTTCTACACAAACCAGAACTCTAGATGATCTGCTTCTGAGTCACCTGGAAGCTTTCACTCTACACCTGTACTTGCAAAGGCTTCAACACTGCATTTGGTCACACTGTTCATGCAAAAGCTTGGGGCAGGGTTACTTGGTATGCCCTGACTCCCAAGAGTCTCCACTCCTGTGTTGAATAAGATTGCTATGTTAACACCTGAAGAGGGTTATTGTGACGTGGCAACATAAATAGCAAAAGGTACCATTCACGGGAAATATCTGATTGACCGATTGATTGTAAAGATTTTAAAACAGTAAGTACTTGTGTTTAAACCTCACTAGTGAACTACAGACTCATTCTGAAACCAATACAGAATGAACTGACGCAGTACCGTACAAGGTTCAGAACTTCTGGCAGAAAGGACAGAGAGAGAGAGAGAGAGAGAGAGAGAGAGAGAGAGAGAGATCAAATCCCCCTGTGATGTTTGAAGAGTTATTTTCTTCTTAAGCATTTCACAATAATCTAACATTTAACATTTAGAGAATAAGGAAGTGCTAGGAGTAGGTACAGAACTTGTGTAATGTACTGTACATGCACTGACTACTCAGATTCTGCTTGTGCCTGGGGTCACTTATCTGGTCTATGGAATACAGACTACTTCAAGGACACAGGACACTTTTGTGAACTGCCCTGTCAGTGTGTGTTATATTCTAGTTTGCATATATTCTCTTAAAGATCCCCTTTTGTTGCTGGGATGTCACATTTTCCAATACTAAAACCGCAATATGTTTGCAGCATTGCTATAATTCCTACTTGGAATGTGGAGGCATTCTAGGAAGGTCTTGGGTCCCCTACTGGGTATATTTTGACTAACAATAAGAGGTGTTCATGGTGAGTTCTGGCACCTCTTTTTCTAGAAAAACAGCACTGCCTATAACCACAGCAATGAAAGGACATATGAAGTTGCCTTATACTAAATCAAACCTTTGGTCCATCTAAGACAGCATGGTGTATGAAAACTGGCAGTGGATCTCCAGTGAACATTCACATCTCTACCTTGAGATGCCAGGGACCGAGGCTGGAAAAGCAGCTGTTTTACCACAGAGCTATGAGTATGTTATTCTGTTCTTTTTCATTGTTTGCTTTATTTCTAAACAAAACACCAGAATGTCTACAGCAGAGCTGCTTCCTTACTCACCCAATGATAAAGGAAATATTTAATTCTATTTTCTCTGAAAAGTAATATCGCATAAAGGCTAAAATGCTGATGGAGTGCTGTTTGACTAGTTGTATGGAAAGTGTCACAATGTCCCTGCGCCTCACTTGTTCCAACTGGAAATATTGAAACATTAAGCATTTTAAATCTCTCTGGTAGCATACGAGTAAATAACAATATCGTTATTACTATTTCAAACTATAATTACCAAAGTACGAAGATGGTAACTGCAGGATCATTAATTAAAGAACTCTGGAAATAATTGCTCATAATGACATACATTTGCTACTGAAGGCAAACATTCTCAAGTGTGTTTTCTGAAAGACATAATTCAGAAAAAAAGAGTGATTAGTACACATATAGGTTGTACAATGTGCCTTGCACATATTTCTCTTAATCATTAGGATACTCATTTGGTCAAGAGAATAGAATAAAGGCAATTATGACGGTGCTGTGCATTAAGGAACCTGTGATTCACTTATTGAAAACATGTCTAGAGATAAAATAGAAGGAGATACACATATTCAATTAATTCATCAATTATTGCTCCAACAAAGATGTTTTGTATCTTGGGTGAGAAAACATTTTCAGCTCAAGCATCCCTCATGGCTAATCTTTCAGGGGACACTTGCCAATGGTGGATGGGGCCAAAACACCTGCCAGTTGGTGTGTCCACTTGCTACTTCCCTCTCGCACACAAATGCACACAACACCACACAAGGCATGCATACTTGCATACAACCTCCTCGCCATTCACTCTTCCCCTCCACATCTCACTGCTCAGTTCTTGGTCCTTGGAGGGATATAGTCAGTGAACTAGTCAGAGCTGGAAATCAGCATTACCCACCACCACTGCCACCAGTGCTTCCAGTGGCAATGTAGGTTCCAGGAATAACTGCACACTACATACTGGGTTCTACAGGTGGAGTGCAAGCCCATCCAACGAAGGACATCTTCTCAACTCCTGGACACAGGAACCGCCCATTAACAGCACCAACATCTTCAAATGGGCCTAGATAACCTGCTTCATCTAGGTACACCCTTACATTGCACAGCAATCACCCACTCAATCATCATGCCCAGAAACAGAATGTTGGCAATGGACTAAATCTCTTGAGGAGGAAATGTACCACTGCAGCTTTCAACATGGTGGGAATTATACACCTCTCCAGTGAAACATTCAGAACCTGTTCCCAACAAATCAAACCTTCCTGGCTTGCTGTTACAAGTCATGATGGGCAAAGGTCAAAAGACCAAATAGTCAGTCAGACCCCTGCAAGCATTGTCTAATTCCTAATCCCAGCTGAAATGACCAGGCAGTGCTGAGGCCACCTCTCTAAGATCTACAACAACTGCAATTCCAAGGTTAAGAACAAACTGACTAACTATCCTCAAAGAGCTTTGCAAATTTGTCACAGCACACGTCTGAAGCGTCTGTTGTTCCAATTTCTGAACCTTCAACCAGCCTACTCCTCAGCCTAAAGAGCACAGCCAGACAGCCACTTTTGAACACATTTATTTACAGCTGCCACCTGATACATGCAATTATGCGCTCTACCATGTACTCATCTGTGGTTTGCCCACTCGTTATGGAGATGTTGTACTGGGGGGGGGGGAGAAGGTTAATAGGCTGACCAATAAGAAAGCCCAGGGGTGGAGCCTAACTGTGTTTAAAGCTCAACACAGGGGTTTTGGCAGTTAGTTAGTTAGTTAGTTAGTTTAGGTTGGTTGGTTTCTTGTGGGTGGGAGGCATAGGAGTCAGAGTGAGTTAGAGACAGGGGGGAGACAGAGAGAGTGAATTGGATTACAGTTTTACAAAGTATTTAAAACTTGTTTGCATTCACAATAAACTGGAATCTTTGTTAATATGTTACAACCTGACTGAGTCTGAATATATTACCGGGGAAACCTGGTTGGTGGCAGTGGAAGAGATAAGCCATGGTGGTGCAGGGTCAATAGTCCGTGGAACGACCGGGGACCCTGTGCGAATGCCACATCATCCACTATGAGATTTGTGTCACCTGCATTCCAGCCTGTTTCATCACCCAAAGACAACCAAGGAGCAGATCAGGTTCTGCAGTGACTGAGAGGGCACTTGGAAACAATCATGTCAATGGCTCTCTCCATCGTTTTGTTGTACAGTGGGACCAGGGACTCAAAAGGATCATCGCTATACCAACTGGAAAATCCCTCAGGGCATCCAGGAATCCTTCAGATTCCATCACTGTGTGGGGGCAGGCTATCCTAGCTGGACCCCCACACATGCAGGTCTTTACCTGCCACTGTCTGTCTAAGCCTCACCCACAAGTGGTCTGTCCATGACAATGGGACAACATTAACCCCTCCTCTCTCTCTGCAACTACCAGGTCACTCAGAATCAGTCTGTAGGAAAAAAAACTGATATAGAATGCAATATGTGTTGACAATCTTTGAATTTTGAACATATACATACCAACTTCCCATTGGTTGGCCTATTTCAGGGATATATATGAAGCTGGGGGTTACCTTCAAATGCTCATGACAGATGTTACCAGAGAAGACTCTAAAGTACCACAATCACCACTCCACCTCCTGTTTTTGATAATGGATTTCCTACATATCTCCATAATTGATTCCTAATTTCCCAATAAGTGACGTTGAGGAATAACTTCATTCTTATGCAAGAGGAACTGTTGTTGTCATTTGTAAATTGCCTTTAATGCTTCTGTGAGATTGCAGAAATTGTTTTTAAGATCCTATGGGTTAATGTAAGCAATGAGGTCAACCTATATGTACGTCATTTTATTTGCAATTGATTTGTTACTGGAATATCATTCCATATGCTTTTGTATGCCAAAAAAGTAGGTCCTTCATCATGAGTTCCAGTAAAGAAAAACTGTGTGTTTGAAGTCACAAAGTGGATAGCCTGTATTGAGGCAAAACCAACATAAATTATATGCGCACAGTTTCTCTTTAATTAGTAAGCACACATAGCAGTTAATAGCAATAGCAGTCATTTAGACAAATAGCAGAGCAATTAACATCATCCACAGTGTATGGGAATGCAAACTATTTACAAATTCAGTCTATAGTTATATAGTCTACATGGCAAAACACTGAGCAATAAAGTGCCTTGCTAAAAATATTTCTGCCATGTGCTCAGTTGCACAAATGCAACTAAGACAAAAAAAAATACTGCAGGCCAATATTTATCAAGCAATCAGGTTTATTTTAAATGGTTTAGGAGAAAATTCACCAATCTGCAAGTCAATTAAAAAAACAAAAACTACTGATACATGATGCCTGTCTTTGCTTAGCTTAAGAAAAGAGGAGAGTGCAAAATATGGTCTGAAGCTCAACATAAAAAAAACTAAGATCATGGCCACTGGGCCCATCACCTCCTGGCAAATAGAAGGGGAATCAATGGAGGCAGTGAGAGATTTTACTTTCTTGGGCTCCATGATCACTGCAGATGGTGACAGCAGTCATGAAATTAAAAGACGCCTGCTTCTTGGGGGAAAAGCAATGACAAACCTAGACAGCATCTTAAAAAGCAGAGACATCACCTTGCCAGTACGTATAGTTGCCAAAGGTACGTATAGTTAAAGCTATGGTTTTCCCAGTAGTGATGTATGCAAGTGAGAGCTGGACCATAAAGAAGGCTGATCGCCGAAGAATTGATGCTTTTGAATTATGGTGCTGGAGGAGACTCTTGAGAGTCCCATGGACTGCAAGAAGATCAAACCTATCCATTCTGAAGGAAATGAGCCCTGAGTGCTCACTGGAAGGACAGATCCTGAAGCTGAGGCTCCAGTACTTTTGCCCAGTGGCGTAGCGTGGGTTGTCAGCACCCGGGGCAAGGCAAGTAATTTGCGCCCCCTAACCCGTGGATTTGCGCCCACTAACCCGTGGATTTGCGCCCCCTAACACGTGGATTTGCCCTAACCCCAGATGTTGCGCCCGGTGCGGCCGGCCCCCCCTGCACCCCCCATGCTACGCCACTGCTTTGGCCACCTCATGAGAAGAGAAGACTCCCTGGAAAAGACCCTGATGTTGGGAAAGATTGAGGGCACAAGGAGAAGGGGACGACAGAGGATGAGATAGTTGGACAGTGTTCTCGAAGCTACCAGCATGAGTTTGACCAAACTGCGGGAGGCAGTGGAAGACAAGAGTGCCTGGCGTGCTCTGGTCGTCCTCTACAAATCCTGTTCTCTTGCCCAATGCCTCCTCCACTGTAGAATGGCTGTAATGGCAGAAGGGATGAGTGAGAGGGAAGAAGGAGGATGACTGTGAAGAGAAAGGGAAAGAAGACTGTTGCAGAAAGCACATTTTAAGTTGGCCTAATGAGGGTGTTTTTGCTGGGAAAACCCATAAAGCCTGGAACTTGCTCTGCTGTTGCAATGCAGCCTTTGAGTACTTTTAGATGTGTGGTCACAGCTCAAAAATAAAAAAATAAAAGGCAATCCCAGATCCAAAATTGATTATCTCCGCTCCCCAAACAAACCTTAACTTTTTAGAAATTAATTTATCTTTATTCAGTATTCAGTACAATGATATGTACTTATATTGAGATAAGTATGTATGAGGGTGGGGTGGGTTCATAAATAAAGAAGGAATAGGATGTGAAAAGAAAAGGGGAAGGGAAGAACACATATAAAGTGTGAATACAGCAGACATGTTTGCAAATACAGGCAATGCAGATGGCAAACCCGGTTTTGTCACCATTTAATGTGTGAAGGGGAACTAGCCTGGAGAGCTGAACTAAAGCAGTTTGTAGACAATGTCTTGGAGGAAAACCTGGAGCTTTTTCAAACAGAACGCAAATTTGGAAGCCCTAAGCACAGATTTCCCCCATTAGCCTCATTTACAACACAGTATTATCTGGGGCTTGAACATGGCCCTTTACTAGTCAGTTTAAATTGTGATTAATACTGTTCCTACTTCAGTTACGTTTGAGACGAGAGAGACTGAATGCTTTTACTGCAAGTTGAATTCCATCCACGTGGCAAACTTCATTTATCTGGCTGATGAACTAGAAATATGGCAGTTCAAAATGCCTGGGCCAAGAATCTCAGGAAATGACAATCAGACTACTGTAATTTTAGTTGTTAGCACTTTATGCTCCAAGGCATGGTAAGAAGAAATGAGGAAAGCCTAATTCTTCCAATATATGGCCCAATTAATTGATGCTGATTGGCTACCAATGGAGGAGAAAATTGCAGAACTGGAGAATAATATATCAACCTTTGTTCTTTGGCTGAAAATATGTTTACTTGTATGTGTTTGGCAATATTTGTGTGACAAATCATGCGTCCATGTTTCAGGTTGCAGTGATTTG